AAAAAGCCCACACATTTAGGGAAATAACCCTACAAGGAAGGCAACTCCGTACGGACAAATTTCCCGATCACATCACCATGTTTAAAAGAGGACGAACCAGCAACAACGTCAATGTCCATCACTAGGAAGGTGGCGACCTAAGTGTAGTAGTACAGTGAACATTTATTTTAGGTGTTCGGGGTGCCAGGCATGATGCTCAGACTGTCACGTGCGGTCTGTCATCCCGTTCACTCCCAGTTATGAGGTAGCTACTGTGATGATGGCAGCTTTGCCGATGAGTCAACAGAGGCTTGGTGACATGAGACGAATTATCTAGAGTTGCCGGGTTGTGGTGGAGGGAGGACTAGAAGCAGGTAACCTAACTCCAGAAACTGAATTTTTGCCACACTGTATCATTCCTCTCAATACGTGTGTGCGCACACAGGCACAGTGATGGAATACCGCACGCCTATTTTTAAATATTAGTCGTCTATTGCTAATAATTTTAAATGCCATTTTCATAACATGGAAGATGTGTGTTATAAAACTGAGTTAAAAAGAGGGTATGAAACTGAGTACAACTTCTCAACATATTTAATCTATGTATTTAGAAAAGGAAAAGGAAACAAATTAATGTATTAACAGTGACTGGATTTGGGTGGATGGACATTTTCTCCCTCCACATTGAATGTTCTAGCTTGTGTACATTTTCAAAGACTGGTCACCACTAATAGATCGTGCGGATGAGCTCAGTGGCTTTATATTTGCAAGCCTTCAGGTAAGCTCACCTCTTACCTCAATGTGGCCTCCATTCTCCCTGTCACACGTCCCAAAGGAAGATGCCAGAGGCCTCCAGCCTGCAGCACAGTATACGGGGGCAGTACCTCACAGCCCATCACCTCCACCCAGGAAGTGGTCGGGCCATTCTGGGGTAAGGCCACAAACCATGGACAATCCCCCATGCCTGGCCCGAGGCTGCCTGGAAATGCCCATCTCAGCACAGTCACTCCACAGAGCGGGCCTGACCCAGGACCGAGACCACAAGCTCGCAGCCAGGACCAGCCCCACACTACCCGCCCCACGCACTGCTTTGGGCTTCACGGTGTGGTGTTTGTGTCTGCTTTTGTTCTTAATTAAATTATCTGACAGTTTCCAATCCCGGCCACGTGGCAAACGTGAGCTGGAACGGAGTCGAAGGCACCCCCTCGGAAAAGATGTGGGCTTGCCACAGTCCCCACCACTCCCTACTACTCCCCAGCACCAGAGCGGACACGGGCCAGAGCCGCTGCTTTTTTAACAGCAGAGTGATAGGGAAAGCAAAGGACGTTCTGTGTCCACGTTTCGATCAAAAGAGGAAAAATGAAACGTGGGTTAGCAGGGCTGTGGGCGTCAAGATAAACGGAAGAGGGTACCTTTTCCAGGCACCTCTGCTCGCTTATGTTACCTCCCTGGTCCCAGTGAGTCTTTGAGCCTTCCGTCTCTGGCCTAGGGGGTGTCCGAGGGACAAGGAGAAGGAAACCGCATCCTTCCTCCCTTCCTGGTGAGATTCCTGGCAGAAAGCACTGCCTGCCTGCCCTGCTCCAGCCCCAGGAGTGATCCTGCCTAGCCATCAAAGACCGTCCCGCAAGCAGCTGGGGTGGGAGGTGAGGAATGGCGGGCCAGGCAGAGAGGGGCCGCCCAAAGCCACAGAATTCAGACCCATCCCTGGGAATCCATGAGCTATGCCCATTACTTGAAAAATGTTATTTTGGAGACATGCTCCCAGCCCGCTTCCTCCCTTAAGTTTGAAGCTGGATTTGTGATGAGTCTGTGCAAAGGCCCAGGTGTTATCAAAGCTGCTGTCTTCTCAGCTTCCACAAATTCCCAGGGGGAGAAACAGCAACAGAGCTTCAGTGGGCCCTGAGTCAGAATGCCTGGGGCTGCATCCTAGCTTCACCTCCTACTAGGGGAGTGACCCAAGGCCAGATACAGAAGCTGCTGATGCCTCAGGCTCCCCTATGTTAACCTCTAGGAATTGGGTTGCTGGAAAGATAAAACACTTGCAGAGCTCTTAGCCTAGGGCCTGGCGCAGGATAAGGGCTCAGTAAATACTGGCTACTCTGCCCCCCCCACCCCACCCCACTGGGACCTGGCTTGGCCCAGATCAGAGGCTTGAGGAGCACGGCTCAGACAGACCCTCCGATCTTGGTTTTTACCCTCCCTGCACTTGCTCAGGTAAACTGTGTTTGTCTCCATACTGCCTGCTAAGCCCCCAGGCCCAGGGCTAATGACCTGGAACTTAGCAGGGCTGAGAAACATCGGCCTGCGGGAACCTCCCTTGGCTTCTAATTGAGAGCCTTCCCAGGTTCACACAAGGCCAGTTTCCTGGCACACTGAAAAGGACAGAGTAAACACACGTTCACTTTCTGTCGCTGCCTCAAGGGATCGACTAAAGAGAACAGGTTTCCTTCTGGCACAACAATGAGCTGACAACCTCAAGCCGCAGAGGGCTACACCTCGGGTTCTCGCAGCCCTGGTGAGCAGGCAGGGATGACCCTCAGTGCGGCCCTGACCAGGTGCACAGCCCTGATCTGCACCGATCCCTCTACCCTCCTACTACCTGCCTCAAAGCCCTTTCTGACCCCCAGCCTGTCCTGCTCCCTCCCCACCACTACATTTGGAGCGGCCCAATTCCTGTCTGCTGGAAAGAACATCACAGGAGGGGTAGGATGTAGAGTCTTGTTCGGTGCTACATCCCTAGCTCCTAGCTCTGGTCTGGAACATAGCAGGTGCATACGTAGCATGTTGGGTAAATGAACAGGGCTAGCAGCCATACGGACCTCACAGTACTATGGTGGGTGTTAAGTGAATGATGCACACACGGTATCAGGCATACGGTGAGTGTCTTGGCAGCTTTAGCAGCTGCTTTTGGGAGCTGCTCAGGTCCCTAATACTGGCCGCCCCTGCACATCCAGCTTTGGGACTCTTCTTGGGTCTGCCCATTCCTTGACTGCCTCCCATCCTTCCTCCAAGCTCCAGAGGCTTCTTGCCTAGCCTCAGGATTCCTTGTGGTTCAGGCCTTGGCTTGCCAAGTTAGTTACCATTCCAGCACCCTCTGCAGGGAAGGGAGGGGTGGAGGAGGACCGGACAGAGGATGGAATCAATTCGTTTGCTTCCAAGTGTCCCAGGTGTTTCTAAGGAAGGCATTTTTCTAGAAACAGCTCCCTTGGTGTCCAGGCTGGCTGTGCCTCACCTCGCCCACTATAGAAATGCACGCCTCACCCTTCCTCCTTCCCTTCCTGGGTCAAAGTGCCCAAGTTGTGAAGGAGGCAGGTCTGCCCCCAGGAGCAGAGGAGACCCATTACTGGTAATTCTGCCAACATTTGGACCCAAAGAGTTTGAAGACTTAGGGAGAGAGATTTCCTCTGCACCTGTGACTGACACAAGCTTTTCTGAGGGGGATAGAGCCCAACGCCAACCTGCGGGCCAGGCCTCCTGGTTCTCAATCTGCTCACGATGCCCTTCATTCCTCAACACGTTTGCTTTTGTCTCGGACAGGACCAGATCAGCGAGCTTCAAACATTTCTGTGAGGCGCCACCCTTTGGTGAAACTAAACTGTACCAAGACAGGGCTCAGTATGTCAAGTAGATGGAGGCAGGATCCCCTTGCCCCTGTATCTCTCTGAGCGGCCCCAAGGAGGGTAGGCTGCAACCCTCAAGATGAGCCAGGCTGCTGTGGTCCTGTATCACCCCACGGGCCGACAGTGACCAGGGGCCTGGGGGCACTGAGCCTCCCCCAGGCATGACCCAACTTGTTAGGACAGCTGGTCCCAGGCTCTCCGTGGGCCCCAGTGAGGATACCAGCATCATGCTCAGGGGATGTGTAGTCTTGTCCTGGATACCTCCTGGGCTGGGCAAGATGTGCAGACTGAATCAAGGCGCTGGGACTGGGTGCAGGACAGCGGCCGGGGTGGAACGCTCCCGAGTGCACTATCGGGGCTTTGGCTGTGGAGCCCAGCTGAGCCCAGCCTCTGTGGCAGAGGGCTCACACGCAGGCCGTTCAGAAGGCTGCCAGGGAGAGGGGTCTTATCCAGGAGAGCTGTCAGCCCAGATCAGATATCTGGGGTGTCAGGAAGGACCACAAATCCAGCCCTTCCATTATGCAGGGAGGAGACAGCGGCCCAGGCAGGAGCAGTATCTTGCCGGAGGAGACAGAGTGGCATCAGAGCCAAGAACCAAACCTGGAGATACTGAAATCTGTCTAAGACCTGAGCTCATCTTTCCTCGAGAGCTGGTATTTTCTACTCTGCACAGCAAGTGCCTTCCCATTCTTTCCATCCTCCTTTATCCAAAGCACAGTAAAGACACAGACACTCCTTTCTCAGGCGGGAGGAAGTAACAGACTTGGCAAATGGTGGAGGAGGGCTGTCTAGCACACCGAGAAATGAAGCTCAAACCAGAACGTCAAGGAGGGGAAGAAGGGCGACCCCTTCCCCCCGCCACGGGTGGTGCAGGGGTGAGGCCTCGTGGCGACACTCCCTGGTGTTGGGGATGGGGAAAGGTGTGGCTTTGAGACCTGTGAGTCCCTCAGGGCCCCAGGCCTGATTTAATGTTCTGGGTTGCTCTTCTAAAATTCTTAAATTTTGAACAAGGAATCCCCTGTTTTCCTTCTGTGCTGGACACTGCTAATGGTGTCGCTGGTCCTCACCTACCAGTCATTCAGTACCTGTGTGGCCCTAAGAGTCTCCACCTCTGGGAGCCTCAGCTTTCTCCTAAGACGGAAACCTTAACAGCACCTGCCTTACAGAACTGTTAGGAAGACCAATTAAGAGAACGTACCCAGAGCTCTAAGCAGGTGCCGGGCACGGAACTGATAATTAATGACAGTGTCTACTATAGATCAAAATGCTAACTGCAGACTCTTACATGACAATGCAGATGCTCCGCTCAATGAAAATGAGATTAGCAACCACATCCCAGATCTGGTGGACCAGGAAAGGGCCACAGGTGCCCAGACGCCAGGCCCCCTCCCCTACTCTTACCTTCCTGAAATGGCTGTGTTTGCATCTGCAGCCGGATCTTGATGAGGTCCACAGGCGCCCCCAGGCCGACAGAGACCACACCGGCCACCATGCTGGCCAGGAGAAGGTCCGACAGGGTGTGGGACCCTCTGGCCTCGGACTCCCTGGCGTGGTGCTGGCTGAGGAACCTCTGCGTGTTACTGAAGACCCCAAACACCACTGAGTTGTAGACAGCGATGCTGGCAAGGGGAAAAGACATGCCCTTGAAGAAGCCGAACACCTGTGGGGAAAACCAGGGGTCAGGAGCATGAGGGCCCAGAGCTGTCTGTGGGCCAGGAGCCAGGCTCCCCGCGTGGCCCTGGGCACAGACCCTGCCCTCTTGGAGCCTGCAGGCTGGTGAGGTGACACCACGGGAAAAATAAATCATTATGTCGGCGACAAGAATGAAAAAAGGATGCTGAGGTGATTGATGGCAGGGACTAGGTGGGTGAGGAGTTGCTCTCCATTCCCGGGCAGGGCATATTCTGGCCTGGGGCAGAACCCGCTTCTGTAGGCAGTTTTGTTTCCTGAGTCAGGGTGCCCTGGGCCTGGAACCCATTTTTGCCACCAGAGTGGCACTGTTGTTGGGCTGGAAAGATATCAGGCTGCATGGAGCCCTCGTGGGTAGCGGACTTACCGGGCACCCCACACACCCTCCTCATTTGCCACTCAACCAAAAGCATTCTCTAAGGTACTTGCCATGGGCCAGGCCCTGGGGGACAAATGTAAGAACGAAATACTGCCCTCACTGAACCCACACTCGGGGGGGCGGGGCAGATAAACTGACAGGTGATTAAAATTCAACGTGCTAAGTGTGTGGTGAGGGTCTAAGGGAAGGGGAGCTCCCAGAAGGACAGCACCAAGAAGCTTCTTCTACACCTAAGCAGAGATCACAGCAGAGAGTTCTGGAGGCTGAGAGGAGAGGGTCCTTTCCACACTGCACTCTCAGGGGAACATCACAGACACTCCTCTGAGACCTGGAATATTCCACAGGCCCTTGGAGGAGTCAGGGCAGCACTAACTTTCAGCCCTGTGCCAAAAATGAGAAAGTACCAGGAAGCTGTTGTCCCAACTCCAGGCTGCACACAAACCTGCTAATCCTGACCTGGGTGTGTGCACCCTGTTTGCCAGAGATAGGACACACATACACACACGTTCACACACACGTGCATGCATACCACACATGCACACACACACACCCCACCTCAGGTTCTTCTTCCAAAATAAGCTCCCTCAGATAACGTGAGGACATCACTTAGCCCTGAGGGGCCGTGTCTCCAAGGAACGCCCACAGTCCCCACAAAACGCCCCGGGGTTGGGACTGTGGCTGGCAAGCACTGTGGACAGTGTGTGCCAAAAAGGAGAATCAATGGCCACCTCTCAGGGAACTGGGGAATCACACATCACCCTGAACAGCTTGAACCAAGTTTGCAGTCCATTGTAAAGCAGCCCAGCAAGAGAGTTCAAGCAACACCCCGACACAAAACACGCCTCTGAGGGAAAAGTCCAGGCGCAGGCAGGAGGCTCCTGAACCCCCGGGCACCCGCTAGGAGGCTGTGGAGACGGTGGTCGACAACGGGGCCACATTTCCAGGGACTCAAGGGAAAGCCCAGGGCTGCTATTGACCATTCCTTTAAATCATCAAGTCATTTCATCGTTAATTAGAAAATGTATTTTAAATTCCCCAAGGCAGGGCCTTAGAAAGTCTTCCGAAAGCACATGGTCATTCTTAAGAAGGGCACCTGATACATTTTCCACAAAATATTATTTGGGTTTTCCTCTTTGGAAAGGAAAACCTTGAGTCCCCTGGTTTCCAGCAACCCGAGGGACAAGCCAGCTCTGGGCATCTGGAATCCCAAGTGCCTGGCTCAAAGCCACCCCAGATGAAGAGAAGCCTGTGAGCACACGGTTTACCAGCCTCGCCCCTGGCTGTGAAAACTGACAGGTCCCCTTGTTTCTGCAGGAATTTTCCACTCTGTGATTCTAAATTCCTCCGAATTTCTCCAGGGAGGTTCCACAAAATCAGTTTTTTCCCCCAATAACCGTGCACAAGATGGCAGGGTTAAGTTTAGGTGACACACAATATTTGAGGTGTGGTGTGAGATGAGGAGAAAGGAGGCAAAACCGAGCCAAATGTGATGAGCAGAAATGAACAGGCCTCCAGCCTGACGGGCTGGTGTTGGGGCTACGGCCACAGTGCCCAGGCCCTGGGCAGGCTTCGAGCTGTCTGCAGGAGTCCCTGAGGGGTACTGCTCCAGCCCCCACCCCAGAGGCACTTACACTCTCCCTCCTATACACCGTGCGGATGCAGCTGAGGGTGTTCCCATAGTTGACGCCGGCCTGCAGGCGAGTCTGCGGAGAGATGCAAGGAGGTGAGGGCCCAGGCCGAGATGATTCACACCCCCACTGCTCCAGAGATGCTAGGCTTGTGGCACTGAGGCCCAGGGAGGGGAAGGCCCCGCCCGAAGTGACCCAGCCAGTAAGGAGGGCTGGGTTTCTGTCCCCTCCAGGCTGGTGCTCTGTCCTCTGCCCACACTGCCTCCTTCAACGTCCCATTCCGGCCTTGCTGAGTGCGGCAGAAGTCTTCTTGGTCTGAGAGAAGAACAAAAGTCCATTTGTTGTTCAAAAATGATGCTTGTTGGGGGACATGTGATCCCTGCCTCTTGAGTACAAGCACTACTCCGGGGCTCTGCCCCATCCACTGCCCATCACTCTGCCATCCTAAGAATTCCCTTCGTGGCTCCAGAGCCCCGTCATCTCTCACCTGCACAGTGGGCTGGTTTCACCACTGGCCTCCTGCTTCCCTCTCAGTCCCTGGCCTGCATCTACACAACAGTCATACTGATCATTTCGGACAGCAGCGAATCGCTCTTTACAGCTCACTGGTGTCTTCCCATCAGACTCAGAGTAAACCCCACACTCTCTACCAGTGTCAAAGAGGCCTGGGTAGACACCGAGCCTGCCTCTCACCCCTGCGTGCCCCTTCCTCCATGCCTCTGCCCTCTGTGCCTACGGCGTGGCACATCCCCCAGTCCCTGGCCTCACCTTCCCCCTCCCCCTCCCTGCCTGAACTCTCCACCGGCTCTTCCTTTTCCCAGAAGGCTCTTCCTCCAGGTCCTGCTTATCTTTGGGGGCTGAGCTTCAGTGTTGCAATGGCGTTATCTCTCTGTTTACTTTGGGTTTATTTGGGCCCCCTCTCTATGGCAGGGCTGTCTCATATTTCCTTCTTGGCCCCACGCTGAGCATGGCCCTGGCATATGTCCCCTTTGCACTGGCTAAATGAGGGGCTGGAGGGGAAGACATGGTGTCCCCTAATGGAGGCTGGCTCTGGTGACAGAGGGCAGACAGCCACAGAGAGTCTGAGGAGCCTCACAAAAGTGCCAGGGCACCCCCCCGAGCCTGGTAAGAAGAAACTCTGAGAACCACAGAAGGGGTGACTGGACACTACCCCCCAGAACCCAGGGTCCCATGAGAACTAAGACCCAGGGTGCAGACTAACACGTCACACCAACAGCCTGAGCTCAGTGTGTAGACAAGTAGCGAAGACTCTGGCAGAACACACATCATACAAGTGTTGGTCTCTGAGGTGAAAATCACGGGCGATGTTTTTCTACACTGAATGGCGTTTCATTTCCAACTTTCCTATGACAGACAGGGGTTACTTTCATTATTTTCAATTTATGTAATTTAAAAATAATTTTAAGTACACAACTAATCTGAGAATAAATTTTCTGAATAAAAAAAATTCCACATTCTCCCTCCCTGACTCCCAACCCCAAGCTAACCACCTCGGCTAATAGCGTGGCTGAGAGCTTCATAGGCATTCATCTCAACAGGGTTAGAGACCCAGATAGCCATGGGAAATCTGTAGCACTCTCACAAGCATGATAGGTAAATGGTATCATATGTTTTCTAAGTGTTACTTTCATAATCAAAGAAATATAACGGTTGACTCATTCAACCTATATGATTGAAGGCCTGTTTTCCAACAGCCACTGTTCCACTCAGGAGATTCAGCAGTAGAGGAAATCAACTTCCTGGCCTCGTGGAACTTAGAACCAAGTGGGGATGGAAAAAAAAAAAAAGTCAATAAAAGGCAATTCCCAAGCAAATATTTATGTCTGATGATGACAAGTACCTTGGGGAAAAACAGACCCGGGGGTCAGAAGTGTGGGCTGCTTGAGGGAAACTGCAGTATTTAACTGTCTGGAGGTGAAGACACGGGGGAAGGCGCAGCAAGATGAGAAGCAGGCTTTCACGGTGGAGCAGACCCACAGAGCTCTACCTTGGGGTGGGGTATCCCCAACCTAGACAAGATTATAGGCGAAGGAACATGGGCACAGGCCTCCCTCTCTTCCCCCATTTAAGGCTGGCATGGGGGTGAATGCTCTCTCCACTGGCCCCAGCGCTGACAGGGCTACCTCTGGGGACTGAATCCACAGGTTGAGGCCCCAAGAAGGATCAAGTTCCACTGAAAAATTCCAGTGCCCGAGTCACTCAAGCAAACCGTACATGAGGAAACTCAACCCAGGAGTCAATCCCAGATCACAGAAGAGTTCCTAAACCATGGAGCAACGGCCGTCCAGCCATGCTGAACACTTGAGGACAATGCCACGGAGGCCAGCCACACAGCACACGCCTCCAGGGCCTCCTTACAACAGGGGCTGGAATTTAGTGTGTGACAATTGCATTCCTGGGGAAGTACTGGGCCTCTTCTAGAACTTATCTCACGGAATCCCACAAATGCCGCTGGGCCTGGATACTGTCCCCATTTTACAGATGGAGAAAGCTGACTTCTTGTATTAGTTGTCCTATGGCTGCTGTAACAAATTACGACAAATTTAGCAGCTTACCACAACGCCTATCTATTCTCTTACAGTTCGCTAGCTGGTCTAAAGGCAGCTGAGCCCTGATCAGGAAACCCTGGTCACACTGCATCAGACATATACCTGAAATGCACCATCTGGGCAGAGAGTCAGGGGAGAATCCGGATCCCAGCTTCACGGCCACCAAGCAGCCAGGGGCTGGCTCTCCCACCAGTGATGGGACAGCCACGGGCAGGGAAGGAGCCTCTGACCTGGGTTAGCAGCCCAGGTGCTTTTAGCTTGGCTCTTCCCAAGGCAAGGCCTGGGACCTTGGACAAGTCCCAAGTCACTCACAACACACAAGCATGTGTGTTCATCAGGATAGGAACGGCTCACTCACGACTCTATGCTCAGTGCCTCAGGGACAATCTTCACAGCAGCCCTGCTGGGAGGTGCTCTTTGCCCATTTTTCAGATGAGGAGAGCAAGGCTTGGGGAGGTAAAGTGCTGCATCCTGGTCACAGGAGAGTAGGTAGGCAGGCTGAGACCGCACTCCAGATTATTCCGACTCTAAAGCTCTTGCCTGGACATTTCTCAGGCAGGGACTCCAGAGAAAATGTCAGCCAGAAGGAAGGAAGGAAGGAGCATGTTTTGGGGAGTAACAAGGGCCCTGAGCCACGGCCAGCCATGAAGGCTGGCATCACCAGGCTGGTACCCTGAGCGAGGAGTTTCTGAGGCTGGGCAGAGACTGGATTTGATGCATCAGGAAGGGCTCTCTCAGAGGCTCAAGGGGCAGAGTGGACAGCAGGAGGTGCACTCCAGCCTTTTTAGGCAGCCAGACCTGCCTGTGCAGGGCGGGGGAACCTCCCACAAGCTCCAGCAGCCCCTGGCCAAGCTCGGGGTAAGGGAAGGATGTTCTAACCAGGGAGACACAGAGGTTGCCTGTGCCGGGAATATAGCTGGAGGGCCCACAGGGGCAGGGATTGGATTTGCTTTGCATACTACTGATGCCTTGCTATCCCCGTACCGTCTACACACAGAAAGTGTCTGGTATGCGTCTGATGGACGAGCAAAAGGCAGGGCCCATATGGGTGACACAAAGAGCCAGGAAAGATCTTAAGCTATCTAAGACAAATAGGCTGATCCCCCATCAAGAAGAAAGCAGGCCTGGGCTCTGCCCTAGGAGGGCCCACTGTCATACCGGGAAGAAGACAGGGGGAAAGTGACTGTAGCAGCCACTTGGGAAAAGCCTGAGCAGTTCCTCTTAGTGCACGATCCAGGCAAAGCTTTAGATAGGAATGTGCAAGTCAGGGGTGAGAAGGCACTGTTTGCGACCAACAGTGCTCCCAGGGTATGGCTCTGTAGTCCTGCTCACTCCTGGGGACAGGGGGTGGGGATGGGCGTGGCGTCAAAGAATGTCCTTTTGTAGAGCTCCTCACTCACTCACTCCTCAATGCTTTAACACCTGGCATGACCTCAAGCAAGCCCTTTCCCCTTCCTGGGCCAGTTTCTCCATCTGTAGAACAAGGGGCGTGGATGATCCCCCCCGCCCGCCCTCCCTTGCCAGATGGCCCTGTTGAGTCCTCATACCTCCTGCACTTCCCAGAGTTATAATGGCTTCCCATTCCCAACCCAAGTCCGCAGTCCTAATCTGATAGTGAAGGCCTCCCAGGGTTGAGTGCTGACCCACCTTTCCTGGATTCTGCTCTACAGCTGCTGAAACCTGATGCATCAGCCAAACCGGCCATGCTGGCTTTTCCCAAGCGTGACCCCCACGCAGGGTCCCCACCTCGGTGCCTTAGCTCTTGCTGCTCTCTGAGCCTGGAACATCTTTTCTCATCACCTGAAACCCAACCTTAAATTCTGGACTCAGATGCCACCTCACACCGGAAGCCTTTCCCGGTTCCTCAGTTGCCGAGACTGGCAGGGGATCTGTACCATTGCCTGGCCCTCCCCCACAGCCCCTGAGAACCTGGAGGCAGAAATCCGGCATTCACAAAAACAAAATTGCTGCCAAGTAACGAGAGGAGAGGGATGATTCCAAACCAGTCCTCTGGCCCCCCACCCTCCGGGGTTGGCACAGAGCCTTGGCCCTGGGCTGGAAACTGTCTTGGGATCAGAAACAGCAGACATATTGCTGGAGGCAGACTCACTCCAGGCCGCTTTCCAAGAGGTAATGGCAAACATGGCCGCAGTACCTTGACCGTGTCTAGAGGGTGGCCGACGATGACGCTGGCTGCACCTGTTGATCAAAGAAGAAGACCTGGTCACTGAGCCCCTGGACTCCTCACGTGCACCTGCTGGCTCCTGGGATAAGACAGACGGCTCGGGCACTCACATCCACTCGTTCAGTCAATGCCCAGTTCCCAGAGCCCTCCCACCCCCCGGCAATGTGCTGGACACCAGCCCAGGCACTGGGGAAGGCAGAGAAAATGAAGTAAAACCTGGGCTCTGCCTCTAGAAACAAGCACCCCCAAAAAAGGACAGTGAAGGCGCTGGGACAACTGGGTATCCACATGCCTAAGAATGAAGTTAGACCCCACCCTCATAGCATATACAAAAATGAACTCAAAATTGACCAAAGACCTTAATGGAAACACTGAAACTATAAAAATCATTTACTAAAACACAGGGGAAAACTTCTTGATCCTAGAATGGCAAGAGATCCTTAGATATGAAACCAAAAGCACAAGTCACAAAAGAAAAAATAAACTGTGTGTCATACCGATTAAAAACTTGTGTGCAGCAAAGGACACTATCAAGAAGGTGAAGACAACCTATGGAATGGGGAGAAATATCTGCAAATCATATAGGTGATAAGGGTCTAGTATCCAGAATTTATAAGAAATACTTAAAACTAAAAAAGTATTTTTTTTAAGTAGGCTCCCCGCCCAACAGGAGGCTTGAACTCACAACCCTGAGATCAAGAGTCACACATTCTACCGACTAAGCCATGCAGGTGACTCCCCCACACAAATTTTTTTTTTTTATGAGCAAAGGACATGAAGAGACATTTCTCCAAAGAAAATATACACATGGCCAATGTGTACATGAAAACATGCCTAACACCATTAGTCATTAGGGAAAGGCAAATCAACATCACAGGGAGATTCCCCTTCGTACCCACTAGGATGACTATAATTGTTTGTTTGTTTGTTGTTGTTGTTGTTTTGTTTTAAAGGAAAACAGTAAGTGTTGGCAATGATATGGAGAGACTGGAACTCTTGTATGTTGCTGGTGGGAATGTATAATGTTGCAGCCACTGTGGTAATGGTTTGTCATTTCTTCAAGAAGTGAAACAAAGAATCACCATACAACCCAACGATTCCACTCCTAGATAGAGACCTAAAAGAGCAGACCACAGGCACTGGAACAAGTACATGAACACGTATATTCGCGGCAGCACTATTCGCAACGGCCAAAAGGTGGAAACAGCCCAAATGTCCATCAGTGCATGAGTGGGTAAATGCCATGTGGTAAATCCCTGTGATGAATCTTGTTGGACATCAATGGGGATGAAGTGCCGAAGCATGCTGCAGTGTGGATGAAGGTTGAGAATGGTACACTAGGTGCAAGAGGCTAGACACAGAAGGGTCCCACTGTGTCTGATTCCATCTACTCAAATTATCCAGAACAGGCAAATCCACGGAGACAGAAACCTGACAACCATTAAGAGTTGTCAGGGCTTGGGGGGAGAGGAAACGGGAGTGACTGCTTGATGGATCCAGGGACTTCTTTGGGCATGAGGAAAATTTGGAACTAGACAGAGCTGACAGATGCACAACACCATGAATGCACTAAATGCCACTGAATTGGATGCTTGAAAATGGTTATTTCTAGGTTATGTGATATTTGCTTCAAAGAAAAGGGGGGAAGGTGTGAAGAGAAAACGCAGAAACTTTTCGGTTACTTATAGGTTACTTCACTTTTTCTAGACCTCACTTTTAGTAGGTGTAGGTGGGAGTCATATTAGCACCTACCTCGCAGTTCCATTGTAAGAACGAAATAAGCTAATGAAGGTCAAGTACCAGCAAAGCCCTGGCTCTTATAGGCTGTTCAAAAAGAGATGCTGTCACTATCCAGTTTTAGTTTTTTTTTTTATTATTTGTTTGTTTTTTGTTTTTGTTTTTTTAAAGAAGGCCTCTCTGACATGGTGATGATACTCTGGATTTTTCCTCCCACAGAAAAATGCCCATCCACACACAGAGTCACAAGGCCCAAACAGCTTTGGTGGGAAGCAAGACTGCCCTGAGGTCATGTAGATGAAGAAGCCCTTGTTGTTGAAGTTGGTGACTCCGAGGTTGAAACAGGAACAAATCCTCTACAATAAATTCCCTGCCACCCTGATGAGGAATGAAGCATCTCTGCTAGCAGGGGTGATTTAACCAGGTAAGGCAGTCCTGGAATACGAGACAGTAGAGAGAGGGGCAGAGGAACCAGCTAACCCCAGAACAGGCATGTGTTCCATCTAGAACCACCAGACCCCTCTCAGCCCCTCCTTCCCATGGAAGTGGGCAGAGGCAGAAAGGTGACTTTCTGACTTCGCCAGAGGGAAGCTGGAGTATTCACTCTGTAGGAGCCCCTCCCAGCAGGGGAAAAAAGGACTTCTGGTCCCCAGACTCTAGTTGCTTGCTCACTAGTGAGAGCTTCCTTCACTGTGGGCATCCCTTAGTCCATGGAAGCAGCCTCAGAGCTCACCTTGGATGTTTATCTCCCTGGTCACTCATTAGCCCACACATCTGAAAGCAGGGAATGCAAAGATCAGAAATGGGACAATCAGGTCAGTGGTTTCCAGACCTGAGGACCTCACAGACCAGTAAAACTTCAAACAAAATGTAAACGATGTCATGGTGGAATTTTATTCTGCAAGTTCATTAAGAAAACACCTAGAGATGAGTACAGGGGTTAAGATAGCCCTGGAACCAGGCTGTCTGGGTTGGAATCCCAAGGCTCAAGCTAGATGCATGGCCTTGAGCAAGTCACTGAATGTCTCTGTGTACCCATTTCCTCGTCTGTAACATGAGGATGTAATAATTGTAGCTACCTCACTGGGGCTACAAAGAAATATACATCAATAGACATGAGACCAAGGCTAATTTATAGAGCCAGAAAGTAGATTCATGGTTGCCGAGAGGGAGGAGGAGGGGATGGAATTTAACTGTGAATGGGCATGAAGGATCTTACTGGGGAAGAAAATGTGCTAGAACGAATTTATGGAAATGGCTGAAACACTGGTAAGGTTGCTAAAAATTACCGAATTGTATACTTGAAATGGGTATATCTTATGGTGCATAAAATAGCCTCAGTGAAGTTGTTTTAAAAATACCTGTGGCACTTCAACAGCACTTGCTACCGACTGAGTATTCAGTTACGACGCTCATCCTCACTTCATGGAAGCAAGAAAACCCCCAAACCAAAAGACAACAACAAAATGTTAACATGAACAAAATGAGGACGATCGTAGAATAAAGGACAATCCACTACTTACTGTGTGACTTGGGGAGGGCCCCCGGAGTCATCAGAGACCTGCAGCTACTCAGACAGCCTTACCCTCAAACCCAGCCAGGGACAGCCCTACTGAAGTTGGTCTGGCTACGTAAGGGGACAGCCTTAAGTAGGGAAGGCTCTCCCCCAGAATGGCTGATGGTTGTCCAAAGAGGGCCTGAACATGGCTAGTGGGTCTCTGGGTACAGCACACTACCCCCCCTGCCCCATGGTAAAGTTAGGAGAGGAAGGTCTAGAAAGCCTGTGCAAAATAACTGCTTATGGTGAAAGGGACCTCCTCTGCTCATGACAGCAAGAAGCAGGAGCCCTGCAGCCACCTGCTGGGGGACAGAGGCAGGAGCAGCCCTCAAAAAGGGATCCTGGAATGCTATCTGGTCTGTTGTTCTTTTTATGTTTCATTTTCATTTTCCTATAAATCTCCTGGTCTTCATTCCCAGAACACTTGGTGGGGCACAAACATACTAATTATAGCCTCTGTCTCAGCACCTCAAGTTTTTGGTTTTGTTTTTGGTTGTGACTTCAGGCAGGGGTTGCATTTGCCAACATCCCTTTTCTGATGATTCTCTTAGATGCGGCCAAAAGAAAGATAATATTTTACAATACGTGCTAGTGCTTCTCAAACCCTCCCCACATCCTGTCAGTAGATGACAGAAGTAGAGAAATAAACCTACTGTAAAGAGAAGATCAGAGAAGCAAGGAAATGGATGCAACTCTTGCCCAAGCCGACCCAACCCGGGCCCAGCAGACAGCGGCTCCAGGAGCGGCTCCAAGGGAGGAGCGGGTCCAAGAGTGCCGGGAGAAGTGACAGTCGATAAAGGCTGAAAACAGGAAGGGTTCCTCCTATCTGGCAATGGGCACCTGCAGCCAGGCGCTGGGCTCCCAGCTCGGCGCGCCCCGCACCCTCCAGCCAGGGTGCTCCCTAGGGCAGGCCTGACCGCGAAGCCGGGCTCCCCACCCCGCGCCCTGGACAATCGCCACCCTCACCCACAAGTTCTTGCAGCCGCGTCCCCACACTCAGGCGCACAGCCGGGCTCCGAAGGGTGTGTGCGCGCCTGGGCGCTCCATTGGCTGTTGGCTTCGACGGCCGGTTTAATAGTTACCAGGGCCAGTTCGCCGGGTCCTCCCTCGGAGGCAAAGCCGCAGCTCCGGGGGAACCCGCGACGCCGGCGGGACAGCGGGCGAGGGGCCGCGAGGCCAGCAGCCGCGGGGCGACGGGACACTCCGGTAGCAGGCGGCGCGCACGCTGCGCGCGTGGTGGAGGCGCACGGGTGCGGGGCTCCCAGACCCACCACGGCACGGTCTGTAAACTCGGCCGGGTCTTTTTCTCCCGCGCCCGGGCGCCTCCCGCGAGCACACTCGCCTCCCGGGAGGCTCCCACCCATCCAGGCCTTGGCTCACCGCCGATCCAGCCCGCCGCGAAGTCTTCCAGCTGAAAGCTGCCCATGGTCGGAGCCGCGGCGCCCCGCGCTCCTGGAGCCGGGTCGGTGCCCAGTCTGAGTTAGCGGCGTGTGGCCCGCGGGCCCGCGTGTCGGGGGAGGAGGTGGGAGCCTCGAGTGCGCCGCAGCTCCTACCGCGAGCCGGGTCTCCGCGCCGCCCGGCCCGCGAGCCGCCGCGCTCTCACCTCTCCGAGCGCCCGCGGCCGCGGCTAGCACGCCCCCAGCGGACCTTAAAGGCGCCGCAGCGCGCCGCTCGGGGACACTGGGGCCCCGGGGCGCCGCATTCCCTCGCCGCACCCCCCCCCCGCTCTGGCGCCCACGCCTGGCCACCTCACACCCTCTCTCCAGGCCTTGAGGCGAAGATGCCGGCCCTGCCTTGTTCACACTTCCTCCGGGACACGGCAAGGGATGTCAGGGAGAGTTTTGCAAAGTTCATCACAAGAGGTAGAAAGGGAGGCTTTATCCCGAGTCGGCAAGAACGGGATCATAAACACCAAGAGCTCGCTGTGATAGGATCATAAAACAGCGCCGAAGGAACGCTAACTGAAGGCGCAGCGAACAGCGTGGCCACAAGCCCTTCGTTTTCCGAGGGGCTGATTGAAAGCTAGGAGACAGTTTCACCATGAAGGACACAGGACACACAGTTTTGCAGGTCCTTTTTGGAGGTTAGGGACTCTTTCTCGGCCACAGCCCTGCATGCTTCTCTGGCTAGCCCCAGGCTGCAGAACCCAATCCAAGAATAACTCAAAGATTGTGCAGAAAGCCCCTAGCCCAAAGGTAGACTCCAAGTCAGCTCTAAATAAATACTCGCTCTCTGGAGGTCTTCAGGCCAGAGCCTGTGCCCGGGGCGCTGTGCAGGGTTCCACTTCCTCCGCACAGCGGCTCTGAGCAGCCGTTAGTATCAGCCCCGCCGCGGGTCAGGTCTATGTGTCCACTCGGCGGCGCGACAGTACCCAGTGATTCCATCAAACACTAACCTAGGTGTTGCTGAGAAGGTATTTCTATAGATACGGTTCACAGCCCAAACCAGGTGACTTTAAGTATGGGAGCTTATCCTTGATCACCTGAGTGGGTCCCACCCAATCCGCTGAAAGGCCGAAAGAGCAAAACGGAGGGACACCTGCCTGGCTCAGGGGGAAGAGCATGCGACTCTTAATCTCGGGTCTTGAGTTTGAGCCCCCTGTTGGGTGGAGAGGTTACTTAAAAATAATTAAAAAAAAAAAAATTAGGAGCGCCTGGGTGGCTCAGTCGGTTAAGCTGCTGCCTTTGGCTCAGGCCATGATTTCAGGGGCCTGAGATCAAGCCCCACATCAGGCTCCCTGCTCAGTGGGGAGTCTGCTTCTCCCTCTGCCTCTGCTACTCCCCCTTGCTTGTTCTCTCTCACTGATGCACGTTCTCTCAAAAAATAAAATTAAAAAAAAATTTTTAAGAATTAAAAAAATTTTTAAAAGAGCAAAATGGAGGCTTCCCCCAGGGAAAAGAAATTTTGCCTGTGGAATGCAGCGCCAACTCCTGCCTGGATATCTCCAGCCTTGCAGCCTGTGCTCCAGGTTTCAGACTTGCCCAGCTAGACCCCACACTTACATAACATACATATGTCCCCTACCGATTGTTTCCCCGGTGGGACCCTGCGTTCACCTGACACCGCTCTGACAGCACTGATTCCAATCAGCTGTGGGCCTTGTCTTCCGTCTCCCAGCCCTGGGAGCTGATGCTAACTGCCATCCCCCTCATGTCCCACTCAGCACCCAAGCAAGCAAGCAGCTGGACATTCAGGGTCATGTCTAATTTTCAGGTACAGCTCTCCAGGGGCCTAGCTCCCCTTAGATCCAGGCTCAGCCTACACTGTCTGCCCTGGGCCACCCAGGGAGGCTGAGGGGTAGTCCTCTGTCCCTCAGATATCCTCTTTGTAGGTAAGCTCTGCACCCAGCCAGGACCCAGCCGGAGGTCCACGCTCACTGGGGCACATGGCGTGGCTGTGTGGAGGTGCTTTTGGCGCAATGGGAGTTCCCTGACCTCCTTCCAAGAAGGAAGGTGATCTGATGCTAATTTCCAGCGGGACACCAGCCTCGGCACCCCCACATCATGAGGGTATGGTCTAGAAGAAGGGGACTCTGCTGGGCCTGCTCTCTCCCACTGACACGTCCATATCAGCTCACCCAGGCCATTGTGCTGCCCCCACCTAGGCCATCTCCTTCCAAAGCAAGACGAAGTCTGACCACTGAGGCTTGCTGAGAAGGGCCTAGAAGCCTGCTGAGGAGTCGGGGCTCACCATCAGCACTGACCCCAAGCTGCGCCCCACCTACCAGATCTGGGGTATGTGCTGGGACAGTTCTAAGAAATGAAAGGTCTCCCAAGAGTGGCCCTTCTGTGAGTTCATCACTGAGCAAGTCAACAGGTGGGAAGGCCCGCTCTCTTGGAGGACCCCCAGGCCGATTGTCATTCCTCAGTCCCGTGTCAGCAGTAACTGGAAGGACCTGAGTTGGCAGGCAGTGGCCCCGAGAGCTACTGCTTAAACTTCTAATGAGTGCAGCAGAATGGAAGGTGTGGGCTCCTTTCCAGAATACACCACTGTGCTCCATTCCCAAATGTGTGCCACCAATCCGCGCATGAGGCACCTCACCCGACAGGCAGGGGGAGGACCCAGGCCTAGTGGCAGTCAAGGGGCAGCCCTGGAGCATCCCAGACCACTAGGCTGGGGGACCTGGCAGAATGCTCACTCTAGGGAGGGAGGTCTGGTCTGTGGCTGACTCTTGGCTTCCCTGCTTGGGAGCATTTGGAATGCTGCCATGCACACTTATATTCTACCCTTGGGAGGGAGCGGGTAGGGAAACTGAGGCACAGAGAGGTCAGCTCCCTGGGTTGTTAGGGCCAGAAAAATCCCCATTTCCTTTCTCCCTCAACTCTTTCCGAGAGGTACCCTCCTGGAACATTTCCTGCTGCCGTGGGGTATGCACGTGGGATGGGCTGCTAAACTCTGACCACCAGCGGCCCACTTCCCACCTCTCCTTCGCCTTTTCAGGGGACAACTTCCCTGAGCCCCAACTATGGGCCAGTCTCTGCTCTTGGGAGCTGAAAGAGAGGAGGCATTTTGGGTTGCCCACAGGGAGGCGACGATGAGAGCCCGGGGAGGGAGCTGTGTGCCAGGCAGCTGTCAGGGAAGGCCTCCAGGCCTCAGGGTCCGGGCGCTGCGCACTGTGTCTCTCCAGCCTCACAGCTCCCTCTCCTCAAGGCTCTCCCAGCCAAGCCCTTCCTCCCCATGGGCCTTGCCTGAGCAGTGAAGTCCTGGGTCAGCGGACTCCTGCCCCATGGCCTGCAGCTGCGGCCCTGCCTTCTGGAAGCCCACCCCCGCTCAGCTCTTCTCCCCTTCTCTGCTATTCGGCTCTCCCTCCTCGGTGCTTCCTCCCGTGTGGCCTTCCTTGCCGGGTTTCTCAGAGCCCTCACGGCCCCCCTGTCCCAACCATGCCCACGCCTCTCTGCTCACAAGCACCACATCCCATCTCCCACTCAGACCTCACACACCTTTCTTTACTCAACACCGCCACCTGAGAGGCCGCACGTCATCTCTAATGTGACACGTCCCTTGAACTCTGTAACTCCCAAAGTATTCCTCTTTCCCCACCCAGCCAGTCACCCAAGCCAGACCCTGGGTGTGGTCTGATTCCTCTCTCTGCCCCAGGCCTCATGCCATCAGCCATCTCCTCCGTGGCCCTGATGCCCACCCTTTCTGACCTCTCTGTGGCCGAGCTCAGGTCTGTACCACTGCCTGCCTGCAGCAGGGTGACAGAGACGCTCTGCCCCATCCCCTGTCTAGCCTCCAGCCACTGCCACAGTGAGCTTCTGGAAACCTTCCATCTGCTCCAGCCTTCCTCTGCTGAGGGCTCTCCCATGACTCCCCATGGCCTTGAGCATAATTCCAACACCCCAGCTCGGCATGCGAGGGTCTGCAGGCCTGGGTCTGGTGGCCTTTCCACTTCTTACTTCCTACTGTCTCCCCTTAGACTGGAGCCCCAGCTGGGCTGTGTGCCCTCCAAACCCCACCTGCTTTCTGCGTGCAACTGTGCACGCGTGTTCTCCTACTACAAACGCCCTCTCCTCTGCTTCCCTGGCTAACCCCTGTACCTGATTTCTTTGAGACTCAGCTCAGCCCCCACCTTCTCCTGACATGCCTTCCATGAAGCACTCACCACCCCACTCCACACTGGATCTGCTCTCTCCCCCGTGTGTTTCCAGAATATCCCGGGCATATCCATATCACGGCTACCACCCTCTAAAAGTTAGTCTGTCTTCCTGAGAACAGAGTGCTGTCTTATTCTGTAAACCTGCAGCACCTGGCACAGGCCTGGTAGACAGCCACCATTCAGTGGGCCTTAAGTGGGGAAGGCTGTGGAGCAGAAGTCAGAAAGGCCTGCTGACTGCTGACAGCCTAAGACGGGGTCCAGATATAAGGCAGAGCAGATGAGGCCCTGGGCCTTTCTTGGCATGTCACAGATGCCTGGCTCCTTTCAGGCCCTCAAAGCTACCAGATCTTTTTCCACCTCAGGACCTTTGCACTAACCACTCCTGCTTGTGGCTCCCTCCTCTTGAGTTTCTGGAGGACAGCTTCTACTTCCTTCAGGCCTAAGGTGAAACATCCTCTTCCTAGAGGCCTCCCCAGACCCCTGGGCTAAGGTCAAGCCCTTGGCCCTCTTGAGGCATCCCTGTTTCTCATTCCACCCCTTACCATGTTGGTCAGTCCTTGTGCAATGCCCGGGACGCCTGGAAGCATAGGACTCTTCTGACTCATCCACCGCCACGGCATCCTAAGCCTCGGCCACGGAGCAGATGAACAGGACTTCCTGACATTTGAATGCAAATGAATGGATTGGAAACACATGTGTATGTTGTCTTTTTCTTTGGGCATTTGCACCTGTTGCGTCCATCCTGTACTGGCCTCAGACAGTGGGAGCTCTCTGGTTCCTTCCCTGACTCTAATGGAAAGGAAAAGAGCATACAGTGATTTTTAAGGTGCTGTTTGAGCTTCTCATTTGGGGCAACGTTCCCTCCTTTATTGACAG